TCTTCAGAGGTTGCATGGCTTATATATATATATATATATATATATATATATATATATATATATATATATATATATATATATATATATATATATATATATATATATTTCATTGAATATGACCGCATATTCTGTATTTATTATTTTCTGGTTTAGGGCTTCTATCCCTCTAACTATTTTCTTAGCATCAGGGCTTAATTGAAATAGAAGTTCTCCAAAACTCATTTTCGTACTTTTAAGGTGAAGAAAAGAAGTGATTTACTATAGAGTGTATTACACTTATTTGTATAATTTGCACGACGTTTCGAACCTCCATGGTTCACCATGGAGGTTCGAAACGTCGTGCAAATTATACAAATAAGTGTAATACACTCTATAGTAAATCACTTCTTTTCTTCACCTTAAAAGTACGAAAATGAGTTTTGGAGAACTTCTATTTCAATTAAGCCCTGATGCTAAGAAAATAGTTAGAGGGATAGAAGCCCTAAACCAGAAAATAATAAATACAGAATATGCGGTCATATTCAATGAAACATGTTTGAAAGAAAACCTGCTGCCAGTATACACCAATATATATATATATATATATATATATATATATATATATATATATATATATATATATATATATATATTGTGACGATAATCTCCTTCAAGAGATTGAGCCTGCTCTTCCCTCCACAATTACGTCGTTGAAATTATATAAAACTACTATGGAAGAAATGTCCAACAACGACAACAACACCAGCAAGGTTTGCCAGCGAGCAAAACGTATGCAGCCAGAGACACCTGTTCAGACTCAAACCGCCAAACTACCTGTTGATCGCTACCGGCTCCGCTGATTGGTCGCCGGTCTGGCTGCACCTGCACTCGCCCCCCCCCCACACTACTTGATGTCTGGGGTCGCCACGACCTCAGACCTCAGAATATTCTGTGCTTCCGCGGTTACCACTCCTCCCGGCTAGACGTTAGCGTGTACTGAGAGAGGTGGTAGCTTAAAGCCAATATTCCAGCACCTACATTTATTTTTGTATTGCACTTCTTGTTATTTTGTCTTAACGTAACTTTTCATTGTGTCATTTAATTATTCTTATTATTTTGATTGATTGATTTTATTATACGAATTTGTTTGTCCATTTTTTCATGTTTTGATTTATTTAACGTAATTAAAATTTCATTGTTAAAATTTACTTGTGTTTTGTGTGTCTTCTCCTTACCTTACCACAGACGAAGTTCCAGTTTTTCTATTTTTTTTTTATACTATGTGACGAGGCCATACCCCTAGCCTTAAACAGCCGAACACCAACGCGTTACCGTCACAATATATATATATATATATATATATATATATATATATATATATATATATATATATATATATATATATATATATATATATATATGCGAACAAGCCTGAATGGTCCCCAGGACAATATGCAACTGAAAACTCACACCCCAGAAGTGACTCGAACCCATACTCCCAGAAGCAACGCAACTGGTATGTACAAGACGCCTTAATCCACTTGACCATCACGACCGGACAAAATGAGGTGATAGCCGAGGCTATTTGAACCACCCCACCGCCGGCACTCGGATAGTAATCTTGGGCATAGCATTTTACCAAATCACCTCATTCTTTGGGGCACACGTGAGGAACACAAATGCGAACAAGCCTGAATGGTCCCCAGGACAATATGCAACTGAAAACTCACACCCCAGAAGTGACTCGAACCCATACTCCCAGAAGCAACGCAACTGGTATGTACAAGACGCCTTAATCCACTTGACCATCACGACCGGACAAAATGAGGTGATAGCCGAGGCTATTTGAACCACCCCACCGCCGGCACTCGGATAGTAATCTTGGGCATAGCATTTTACCAAATCACCTCATTCTTTGGGGCACACGTGAGGAACACAAATGCGAACAAGCCTGAATGGTCCCCAGGACAATATGCATATATATACATACACGTACATATTCAATCACCTACACAAATTCACACAAAAATAATATTTTGTATCACAAGTGAACAAGAGGCTCATAACAGTCACTATACGAGGCTCTTTATATCTATGGTGAGTCACACAGTTACAGTCATGTGCTCCATACCCACCCAACTGGGCGGCAGCTGAATAATATATACAGTCACGTGCACCACGTACATATACAATCACCACACCAACAAGTGATTCAACAAGAGGCTCACAACAGTCACTATACGAGGCACATCTATGGTGAGTCACACAGTTACAGTCATGTGCTCACCCACACCCATCCAACTGGTACGGCAGCTTTACAGCTTTACAGTCATGTGCTCCACACCCACCCAACTGATCGGCAGCTTTACAGTCATGTGCTCCACACCCACCCAACTGGGCGGCAGCTTTACAGTCATGTGCTCCACACCCACCCAACTGGGCGGCAGCTTTATAGTCATGTGCTCCACACCCACCCAACTGGGCGGCAGCTTTACAGTCATGTGCTCCACACCCACCCAACTGGGCGGCAGCTTTACAGTCATGTGCTCCACACCCACCCAACTGGGCGGCAGCTTTATAGTCATGTGCTCCACACCCACCCAACTGGGCGGCAGCTTTACAGTCATGCGCAGGCTGCACCTATAATAAGCAATCTTTGGGGACTTCGCTAGGATTTCTGGCAGCACATCATTATGAATGAAGTACTTACACATTTCTTAGACACCATTGATGGTGTTATATCTGAATTCCGCGATTTTTTTCACATTCCATTATTTAATGACGCAAAGTTAGCAAATAATTCTGCTGACAGAGTTTAAATTTAGTCAAATCTACAGATGTTACAAACTCCAGGAGGTACTTCCTCATTACAGAGGAGGTACAGATGCGTTCAATACCAATTGTTGTTATATATATAATATATATATATATATATTATATATATATATATACAATATTATATATCCCGTATATATGATAGGTGATATATATACCCGTATATATATATATGTGATATATATATATATTTTTAACTTATAAAGATAATTTTTAAGTGATGAATCCAATATAATTGTGTATAGTTAGGCCTAGACTGAAGCATTTGGTTAGTTTAATTCGAACAGATCACGTGATGAATTAATAGTATATTTCGTGAGCGAAGCATTTACACACGTGATGATTCGAACAGATAACGTGATGAATCCCGTGATGAATCACGTGATGAGTCCCGTGATGAATCACGTGATGAGTCTTGTGATAATTCACGTGATGAGTCCTGTGATAAATCATGTGATGATTCCTGTGATGAATCCCGTGATGAGTCTCATGATGAATCACGTGATGAGTCTTGTGTTGAATCCCGTGATGATTCATGAGTGATGAATCACGTGATGAGTCTCCGTGATGAATCACGTGATGAGTCTCGTGATGAATCACATGATGAGTCACGTGATGAATCACGTGATGAGTCCCGTGATGAATCATCACGTGATGATTCTCGTGATGAATCACTCGATGAGTACTGTGATGAATCCCGTGATGAGTCTTGTAATGAATCACGTGATGAGTCTTGTGATGAATCACGTGATGAGTCATGATGAATCATGTGATGATGTCACGTGATGAATCCCGTGATAAATCACGTGAGGAGTCCCGTGATGAATCTTGTGATGATGATGAGATCTTATGATGAATCACGTGATGAGTCACGTGATAAATCATGTGAAGATCCTTGTGATGAATCCCGTGATGAATCACGTGATGAGTCCCGTGATAAATCACGTGATGAGTCTTGTGATGAATCTCGTGATGAATCATGTGATGTGTCCCGTGATAAATCACGTGATGAGTCTTGGGATGAATCCCATGATGAGTCTCATGATGAATCACGTGATGAGCGTGATGAGTCTTGTGATGAATCCTGTGATAAATCCCGTGATGAATCACGTGATGAGTCCAGTGATGAATCACGTGATGATTCACGTGATGAATCACGTGTCGTGATGTGATGAATCATGTGATGAGTCATGTGATGAACCATGTGATGAGTCGGTGCTGGAGAAGAGTTGGAGGTTGGTGGGTGGTGGTGCGGGAAGGTGTTCATCTCCAGACTGGTGTACCAGCTGGGTGAAGACACACGTGGGCCATTGTTTACCGGCACGGACCCCCAGGAGCCGTCCACCCACAAACAATGGCCAATTGCTCGTTAGTTCAGCCGCGAAACATCTTGTTTATGAATGACAATGTTTTACATGCGTCCCGCAACTGATGTAACTCACAAGTTTTCTCCAACATTATATTATTTTGTCTATGGTCACATTGCACCTTTATAAATAGTTGACTCGCTGGAACTACAAATAGTTACCGACAAAACTTAAACAACTAACCTACAGATATATATCGTATGACGATATATATACATATAATGTATACATATATATATCAAGTAACAATTTATACTTGAGGAAAAATTGAACTTGGAAACAAAGTGGATTAATACTGACTAAGAACAAGTGGCTCAGTGGTAGCGCCCTGGACAGGAAGGTTCGACTCGTTACAGACTGCCCACAACAGTTACTTAACTCCTAAATACCTATTTAATACTACATGAACAGGTGCCCAACCATTTCTGCTTCGTCTGGGGATCGAACCACAGATTCCCTGATACTGAGTCGAGGACGAAGACCACTACGCTACAGGAACGGCCACACTAGGCCTGCTGACAACAGTTCTTAGTTAAATGGATATTGGAGTTCAGTTCCTGAACTATGTTCCACTATCATGGGAGAACAATATAGGAAACCTACCACTGTACTGACAGGACAGGTACATGGGGGAACAATACCGGAGCCCCACCTACACCTGTTACTACCACTGACAGGACAGGTACATGGGGAGAACAATATAGGAGCTCCTCCTATTTGTCATAATTACACAAACTTTCCAAATGTTTCTTCAAAATCAAATAAGGTGAATAATATAAACTAGTAACGTTAAGGGTGTTTGAAGGAGAATTTACTCACCCGTGAGTGAGAGCTGCGGTGAGAGCGAGGACACAGAGGAGGCGGGGACAGTGGTAGGACGCCATGGCAACAGGCAACGAGACGTCCAGGCTGGCTGGCAGCCGGTGAGCAAGTGACTGTGGAAGCTGCCTCTTCTCCCTCACCTTGTCCAGAGGAAACATGTTCCCCCCCCCCCCACTTCCCCTGGCTTCCCCATCATCCCCACCCCCCTTTCGTCTCTAACACAGGCACCCCGCCCAGTCCCTTCCTCAGGTACCCCTCCCGGTCCATCCCTAAGGCACCCCCTCCCCTCAGAACAACATAACCCCATCCAATTATAGAATCTAGAATATTCCTCAGTACCACTACTCAACTTAAAGAAAAATAACATGCAACAGCTACAAGAAGTGCGGTATAAGGCACTAAGGAGAGCAGCAAAACACCGTCCACCATATGATCAGACAGTTCAGGAACTCCATGAACTCCTGAACATACAGCCACTAATCATCAGACTACAGCACCAAGCCATCAGGATGTGGAACACCATCCTAATGTTAGAGGACCCATTGTTAGAAAGATTACTCCAAGATGAGACGCCCCACTCCCACAGCTGGTGTCCCAAGATGAAACGCCCCACTCCCACAGCTGGTGGCCCAAGATTAGACGCCCCACTCCCACAGCTGGTGGCCCAAGATGAGACGCCCCACTCCCACAGCTGGTGGCCCAAGATGAGACGCCCCACTCCCACAGCTGGTGGCCCAAGATGAGACGCCCCACTCCCACAGCTGGTGGCCCAAGAGGAGACGCCCCACTCCCACAGCTGGTGGACCAAGATGAGACGCCCCGCTCCCACAGCTGATGGCCCAAGATGAGACGCCCTGCTCCCACAGCTGGTGGCCCAAGATGAGACGCCCCACTCCCACAGCTGGTGGCCCAAGATGAGAAGCCCCACTCCCACAGCTGGTGGCCCAAGATGAGAAGCCCCACTCCCACAGCTGGTGGCCCAAGATGAGACGCCCCGCTCCCACAGCTGGTGGCCCAAGATGAGACGCCCCACTCCCACAGCTGGTGGCCCAAGATGAGACGCCCCACTCCCACAGCTGGTGGCCCAAGATGAGACGTCCCACTCCCACAGCTGGTGGCCCAAAAGTAGACGCCCCACTCCCACAGCTGGTGGCCCAAGATGAGACGCCCCACTCCCACAGCTGGTGGCCCAAAATGAGACGCCCCGCTCCCACAGCTGGTGGCCCAAGATGAGACGCCCTCACTCCCACAGCTGGTGGCCCAAGATGAGACGCACCACTTCCACAGCTGGTGGCCCAAGATGAGACGCCCCACTCCCACAGCTGGTGGCCCAAGATGAGACGCCCCCACTCCCACAGCTGGTGGCCCAAGATGAGACGCCCCGCTCCCACAGCTGGTGGCCCAAGATGAGACGCCTCACTCCCACAGCTTGTGGCCCAAAATGACACGCCCCGCTCCCACAGCTGGTAGCCCAAGATGAGACGCCCCACTCCCACAGCTGGTGGCCCAAGATGAGACGCCCCACTCCCACAGCTGGTGGCCCAAGGTGAGACGCCCCACTCCCACAGCTGGTAGCCCAAGATGAGACGCCCCGCTCCCACAGCTGGTGGCCCAAGATGAGACGCCCCACTCCCACAGCTGGTGGCCCAAGATGAGACGCCCCACTCCCACAGCTGGTGGCCCAAGATGAGACGCCCCACTCCCACAGCTGGTGGCCCAAGATGAGACGCCCCACTCCCACAGCTGGTGGCCCAAGATGAGATGCCCCACTCCCACAGCTGGTGGCCCAAGATGAGACGCCCCACTCCCACAGCTGGTGGCCCAAGATGAGACGCCCCACTCCCACAGCTGGTGGCCCAAGATGAGACGCCCCACTCCCACAGCTGGTGGCCCAAGATGAGACGCCCCACTCCCACAGCTGGTGGCCCAAGATGAGACGCCCCACTCCCACAGCTGGTGGCCCAAGATGAGACGCCCCGCTCCCACAGCTGGTGGCCCAAGATGAGACGCCCCACTCCCACAGCTGGTGGCCCAAGATGAGACGCCCCACTCCCACAGCTGGTGGCCCAAGATGAGACGCCCCGCTCCCACAGCTGGTGGCCCAAGATGAGACGCCTCACTCCCACAGCTGGTGGCCCAAGATGAGACGCCCCACTCCCACAGCTGGTGGCCCAAGATGAGACGCCCCACTCCCACAGCTGGTGGCCCAAGATGAGACGCCCCACTCCCACAGCTGGTGGCCCAAGATGAGACGCCCCACTCCCACAGCTGGTGGCCCAAGATGAGACGCCCCACTCCCACAGCTGGTGGCCCAAGATGAGACGCCCCACTCCCACAGCTGGTGGCCCAAGATGAGACGCCCCACTCCCACAGCTGGTGGCCCAAGACGAGACACCCCGCTCCCACAGCTGGTGGCCCAAGATGAGACACTCCAATCCCACAGCTGGTGGCCCAAGATGAGACGCCCCGCTCCCACAGCTGGTGGCCCAAGATGAGACGCCTGACTCCCACAGCTGGTGGCCCAAGATGAGATGCCCCACTCCCACAGCTGGTGGCTCAAGATGAGACGCCCCACTACCACAGCTGGTGGCCCAAGATGAGACGCCCCACTCCCACAGCTGGTGGCCCAAGATGAGACGCCCCACTCCCACAGCTGGTGGCCCAAGATGAGACGCCCCGCTCCCACAGCTGGTGGCCCAAGATGAGACGCCCCACTCCCACAGCTGGTGGCCCAAGATGAGACGCCCCACTCCCACAGCTGGTGGCCCAAGATGAGACGCCCCACTCCCACAGCTGGTGGCCCAAGATGAGACGCCCTACTCCCACAGCTGGTGGCCCAAGAGCCCCAATATTCTAGATGAAGAGTGTTGTTTTGGTGGACTCTTCAGAGGTGGCATAGCGTTTCACCTATATTTTTATGATATCTTCAACAAAACTGATATGATATCTTTTATGCAGGTACTTGATGCCAGACGTCTGCAGCAGCTGATGGAGGCATTTGAGCGGAATTCTGTGTTGCGTTTCACTTACGAGATGGAGAAGGATGGGAAGCTGCCCTTTCTAGATGTTACAGTCATGGAAAGAAGCGGAGGTTTCCACACTGCAGTCTACACTAAGGAAACAAACATACGAATGTGCCTCAATGCCAACAGTGACTGCCCAGACAGGTACAAGAGGAGTGTTGTTAACGCTTATGTCGACCTTGCTCTCAGCCACAGCTCAGGATGGAAGCAAGTCGATGAAGAACTCTGTAGGGTAAGGCAGGTCCTAGTCAACAACGCCTTCTCCAATGGTTTCGTTGAAGACATCATAAGAAGGAAGGTGAAATGCCATGCAACCTCTGAAGAGACAACTAACACAACACCTGTACCCCCTATTAGACTATTTTACAGGAACTTCTTTTCCACAGCTCATAAAACAGAGGAAAGGGTCCTGAAAGATGTTGTTAATAGGAACGTTATCCCAACAGACAAAAATCAGAAGATACAATTGACGATTTACTAAAAAAACAAAAAAACGGCCAACCTACTCATGAGAAACTCTCCAGACACAAAGCAGAACGCTTTAAAGGAGACCAACGTCGTCTATGCCTTCAAATGCCCACTTGGGGACTGTAAGCCTCAAAGAACTCAATATATAAGCAAGACAACAACATCTCTTACCAGGCGATTAACGATGCATAAGCAACAGGGCTCCATTAAGGAACATATAATCTCTTCCCACAACCAGACCATCACCAGAGAAGTCTTAACAAACAACACAGAAATCATCGATAGATACAGCGATTGGAGGCGGCTTGACATCTGCGAGGCACTACACACCAAGAAGTCAACACCAGCAATCAACAGCGAATTAATGCACAACTATAGTCTACCAACTTCAAGACTCCGCACCAATATAGAAGCATCAAGAAATATGGGCCAATAGGCCCTTTGCATTCACTTCCATTCTTCCCCTTTAACTTTACCCAATATTACGCAATATTTCGTGTTCTAGTGTTGAAAGTTTGCTTTCACCTCATCTAAAACTGTTGTAACATATTACCTCACCCAAATGCAGGTATATAAAATGAAAAGTCTTTTGAATTATAGCATAGTAAGATATCTGTTTAGTGTTTGCAGGTTATAGTTGTGTGTGTGTAAACTAAAGTCTTTGAAAATGTAATAAGTTATTACGAAACACGTTCAAGTGTCGCGTCAGACTAGAAATAAAAGTGAATTTTGGAGAACTGATTTTTCAATTACCATCGACAGTGAAAAGAAACATAAGAAATATTGAGAAAAATCGTGTTAGAATTATTAATCTTACTTTTTCGGTCATATTTAATAATATATGTCTACCGGAAAGACTGCAACCAAAATATAATATATATATATATATATATATATATATATATATATATATATATATATATATATATATATATATATATATATATATATATATATATATATATATATATAATAAATATGTCATCTACATAACGGCAGTATACAGTTGGTTTTTGTCTGCTACTGAAGACCCTGTCTTCGATGGTTCCCATATAAAAATTAGCAAATAAAACTCCTAGGGGGGAGCCCATTGCTACTCCGTCTATTTGTAAATACATGTCTCCTTGTGAACTGATGAAAGGGGCTTCCTTTGTGAGGGAGAGAACCGTGTGAGCGGTGTGAGAGAGAACTGTGAGCAGTGAGAGAGAACTGTGTGAGCAGTGAGGGAGAGAACCGTGTGAGCAGTGAGAGACAGAACTGTGAGCAGTGAGAAAGCGAGAACCGTGTGAGCAGTGAGAGAGAGAACTATGTGAGCAGTGAGAGAGAGAACTGTGTGAGCAGTGAGAGAGAGAACCGTGTGAGCAGTGATAGAGAGAACTGTGTGAGCAGTGAGTGTCAGAACCGTGTGAGCAGTGAGAAAGAGAACTATGTGAGCAGTGAATAGGAGAACTGTGTGAGCAGTGAGAGAGAGAACCGTGTGAGCAGTGAGAGAGAGAGAACCGTGTGAGCAGTGAGAGAGAGAACCGTGTGAGCAGTGAGGGAGAGAACTGTGTGAGCAATGAGAGAGGGATCTGTGTGAGCAATGAGAGAGAACTGTGTGAGCAATGAGGGAGAGAACTG